TGTGTCATGATTCGGCCGTGTGGCAGGCAGGATGAGGACCCAAATTGCAAACTCACAGACACGGGGGATAAACTCAAAATGCAGCTTTATTGCTGACAGGTGATAAACAATAACGATGATACAAAAGCAATGCAAAACTACACTAAACTGGGAAAAGCTAAAGTAACATATACCGGAAGACACGGGGAGAACCACACACGGCATGAGGGAGAACGCGACGCCGAACAGAGGGAGACGCAGACAGAAATACACAGAGGGTAAACGAGGAAAATTTGAACACACGGGGAACACAGGTGACGCTGATAATCATAACGAGACAGGGCGGGGTGAACTGAACATGACATGTACAGGCGTGAGAGTCACAAAGTAAACAGGAAGTGCACAGAGGTTCAGACAGGAGGAGAGAGAGCACGGGGAAAACACAGACATAACGGGCTGGGGAAACATGGAATAAAACATAAGGAGAGACGAGGGCTCAGATACACAGAGGGGCACACAGGGGGTGAGAGTCACAACGGGAAAACACATAAGGAACAACGTAACAGATCAACCCAGGAAGCATGGCCTAAATAAAGAACAAAATACAAAAATACATGAAAACTAAGAATACTGGGCCCACATGGCCCAGGACCATGACAGTCTGTCTATTCTCTCCATCTGTCAGCTGCTGCTGGCTCTTCCTCCTCTTCCTCACACACTGCTGAGTTTGTCCTGGTGGATCATCAGGGGTGCAAAGCCTCACAGATGATGTGCAGCAGTGGGTCCCTCAGTCTGTCCTCACTCTGGACACTTGCAGTTGTCACACATGGAAATCAAATGTGTGATAAGCTGCAGGATTCAAACACAAGTGTAACTTATAAACACATGTTCATACTTTTATTCCACAATCAGAGAGAAAGAAACAGAGAGAGAGTGCAGGACAGACAGGTGACAGTCTCAGGTGTACACACTGCTACACAACAGCACCAGAGAAGGAGGATTTAGTGTTTGCGTTATTACGAGTGCTCAACAAGAAGAGTTCCCAGATGGTGCAGTGGACACGTGTGTGACTGCTGTGATTAAAGCATCTTTCTTTCAGCTTAACGAGTGAAACGTCAGCTCGTTCAAACACACGTTAAAGTCCGTTTGGCTCGACACCACCGAACAGAGGCAGCAATATAACATAGCTAACATTAACAGTGCAGTGAATCCTGCTTGTGCCGTGATATTCAGGTCTGCAAACCGAGCACCATTCATTGAATTTCAGCTTGTTGTGTTTGTGGATATATGACTGACTTTAATTATCCATAAAATCATCACATTCTCTGTAGGATTAAGGTCGACTATTAAACATCATGAAGACCCTGGAAAGGCTCATCCTGGACCAGCTGCGATCCATTGTCAGACCACATCTGGATCCCCTTCAATTTGCCTATCAGCCTCATCTTGGACCTGAGAACGCCATCATCTACCTGCTCAATCGTGTCTACACCCATCTGGACCAGCCGGCGAGCACTGTGAGGGTCATGTTTTTTGACTTTTCTAGTGCTTTCAACACCATCAGGCCGACCCTCCTGGGTGATAAGTTAACAGCGATGCAGGTGGATGCTTCTATGGTGTCCTGGATTGTTGATTACCTGACAGGAAGACCACAATATGTACGTTCAAGGTTCTTTATTTGTCACATGCATAGTTATACAAGTATAACACACAGTGAAATGTAGCCTGACACGCTCCTCGACATGTGCAAAAATGGGGGGGGGGGTGTAGAGGAAGAACATTATATATATATATATATATATATATATATATATATATATATTAGGGGTGCAACGATACACAAAATTCACGGTTTGGTTCGGTTCGATACTTTGGTGTCACGGTTCGATATTTTTTCGATACAAAAAAATGTTCAAGCATTTTTAATTTGCCATTTATTAAAATTATAAATATATATTTTAACTCAAAAGTACAGTTTTTAAATTTAACCCTAACCCTTGTGCGTGTTTTTTATTTTGACAGCGAATGCGCACCTGCGGACCACTTATGTGCAGCCCTGGTTATTTAGCTCATCATATTGCAGCCACAGAAATTATTTTGTCCATGAAACCATAAAGCTGCACTTTCTTTTTGCCTTATAGTCTGATTTGTCATAACTTCTCCATTTTGTGGTAAGCTTTTCTTTGGCTGTCACTTCTTCACCCTGACCTGTCTTATTTGGCTCAGCAGAACTAAAATATATATCTGTCTGTGAAGGTTCTCAGTCATCCAGGTCATCGTAGTCAAATATATATCCTGCTGCTTTTACACACGCACTCACATAAGCTCAACGATTCTCTGCGCGATCAACCTCTCACATGTTTAAGCTTGCTGCGGGAGATTTCACTTGTCATGTTTGCATAGTAAGCTAACGATTAATAAGACGATGTCAGAGGAATTGGTGCACAAATTATCATCACTCACAGATCAGTGCTGTCGCTCTCTATACACAGTTCGCACGATTGCAAAGTGAAAGCAAAAAAACAAGCGCAAATTCAAACGCGACTTCAATATGTCACATATTGACAGTGGCTCACCGATGCCAATGACATAATTACCCAGCTACATTTCTGAGAGAATGCAAAAGCATTGACATATATTTTTCCTACAATAGCCCGACGGGCAGGGAAGAGATAGAATTTTGGTAGCCCGACTGAAAAAATCGCTAGCTCCGGGACGTCGGGCTAGCGATATTGCGAGCCCTGTATCTGATTGAGGAATCACTCATCTTTGGAAAAGAGAGTTTATTACAGAGAAATGGCTCTTTCCAAAATAAAAGCTATACTATCCGCTTCTTCTGGGCTATATTCTCAGCAGCATAAGGAGAATCATGTGCTAACAGCTGTCTAAATGACTCGGCTAAAGTTAGTAGCATGCTTGCTTTTTTTTGTCTGCTTCCACTTGTCTTTGCACTAGGATGATGTCGGCGTAAATGTGCAGTCATATTCGTTGTGTTCCCACTAGTGCTTTCAGGTTAATCTCGTTGAAATGACCTTAACGCCACAACACGGCAAATCTCCGTTAACGAGCTACCGCCGATCGCTCCGTGCATGGGGCTAGACGGCCAACACGTTAACGAGCTAACTGCGCTAACACACTAGTTCACACCAATGTAATTGAGCATTGCATGGCACATCCAACATACTGTTTTACTTTAGTCCATGACTCGCTTACCTTCAGGGTCATACGTCACATGAAAACCAAAATAATTCCAAACGCCAGATCTGAATGAGAGTGGGGGAGGTCCATGTTAAAAGGAGAGCTTAACTTCTGTCTCGCTAGCTTGCCCTGCGCTCTTCCTTCTGACGATGCTGTCTGCGTTGAGCGCTCAGTGGATCTGCGCTCGACAGTGCAGCCTAGGCGGAGTAGTCGAACACAGATTCACTGAGCGCTCAACACAGACAGCATCGTCAGAAGGAAAATTGATAAAATAAATTACAAATGTTGTATTGTTCGATACATATGCGTACCGAACCGAAAGCACTGTATCGAACGGTTCAATATCGATACGAATATCGTTGCACCCCTAATATATATATATATATATATATATATAGTATATACACTGGGTGAATGTGCAGTAGTAGCAGTAGCAGCGTCTCCCACAGTGTGTGTCTGACAAGGTAAGCAGCAACATAGGGGCACCACAGGGGACTGTCCTCTCCCCCTTCCTCTTCACCCTATACACCACAGACTTCAGCCACTGCACAGAGACATGCCATCTTCAGAAGTTTTCTGATTACTCCGCGGTGGTTGGATGCATCAGGAGGGATGATGAGACAGAGTCCCGGGCTGTGGTCGACTCCTTTGTCACGTGGCGTGAGCAGAATCATCTGCAGCTCAACGTGGCAAAGACCAAGGAACTGATCGTGGACTTCAGGAAGCCCAGGAAACACTTGACCCCTGTTTCAATCCAGGGGGTCAGTGTTGACATTGTGGAGGACTATAAATACCTTGGAGTTCACATCGACAATAAACTAGACTGGGCTACAAATACCACAGCACTTTACAGAAAATGCCAGAGTCTTCTCTATTTTTTGAGGCGACTGAGGTCCTTCAACATCTGTCAGAAAATGCTGAGGATTTTCTATGAGTCTGTTGTGGCCAGTGCGATCCTCTATGCTGTTGCATGCTGGGGGAGCAGGCTGAGGGTCGCAGATGCCAACAGACTTGATAAACTGATCCGTAAGGCCAGTAATGTTGTGGGGATGGAGCTGGACTCCGTCAAGGTGGTGTCGGAGAGGCGAATGTTGTGCAAGATAAAGACAATGTTGGATAACATCTCCCACCCACTCCATGACATGCTGGTCAGTCACAGAAGCACGTTCAGTGAAAGACTGAGATTACTGAAAAGCACCACTGAACGACACAGGAAATCATTCCTGCCTGTGGCTCACTGTACAACTCATCCACTTAACACACTGTTTACTACAACAGCTACACCCTTCTTGCACATGTTATTTTCAGCTATTTATTAATAAGTGACTTTTATGTATACATATGCCTGCATATATCGTGCTATTCTTAGTTAGTGTATTGTCTGTCTTTGTAATGTTTGTTTATAATGGAGCACTGTGACGAAAAATAATTTCCCCTAGCGATCAATAAAGTATTCTGATTCTGATTCTAAACGGCGTATATTTTAAAGTAAAGGCTTTAAAACAAAGTAAACGCAGAAAGTACAAACATCGCTAATGGCAAATAACTTTGCCGACATGTGGTCAACAGTAATGTTTTAATGTTCTTCATTATTAAACATTTGCACATAAATAAGTGACATAATATTCATTACCCACTTTTAAAAGTTTACTCTTCCGATGTTTTCTTCGGCAAAATTATCCACACCCACTGCCACGCTATGAAGTCTGGGATATGTTGGGCCATGAAGTCTACACCCCCACATCCTTAAAATTCAGGGGAAATGAAGGACGCATTTGAGCAGCCTTAATTATGACAGCCTTCGTCGCGTCGCTGTGACGTAATCAGCCATAAAATGTGGCCTTTAAGGCTGCAGACCCTGAATTGGGATACAGCCTGTGTTTTGGAGCCTCTGGTCTCATTTCCATCTTACTCTGGTACTTCTCATCTGTGATGTCATTGCTTGGTGGGGCCAGTTGAACAGGCACCTCAGTCTTGATTAGGTGGGTCAAATCTAGAAAACCATTGAGAAGATGCTAATTTAAAATGTTAGATAGAAAAATTAAATGGGGCATCACATTTCAGATCCTTACCACTGAAGTCGGCAGTAACAATGAGATTATTGTTCTTGAGGAAGCTCCTCCTTTGCAGATGTGAGTGGGAAATGAATGTGCTCCAGCCAAAGTCTTGACTGCGGAAGCATTTACAGCTGTCATCCCACACTGGTCAGGATGTGGCTGTTGGTTTGTTCCAATGAGCATGAGTGTCTGAGTGGACAAAATAAGAATATTCATGTTTGAAACCTGGATGTTGGGGACACATTATTAATCCTTTATTTGTCCAGGTAAAAAATCTCATTGAGATTAAAAATCTCATTTCCAGGAGGAGTCTGTACATTGCCGAAAATGTACAGAGTTTGTCAAAACTAACAGAATTGTCAGAAATGGTTAAAAGACTTAATTCTTTAGCTAATGTCCTGCATGCGCTTGCAGCAGCCATAGACCAAAGTTAGCATTCATTTGAAGTTATTTTTTCAGCCTACAGCAAATACAATATTTAGGCAAACGTTTGCCTAAAGTGAGCCACTGTGCACTGTTCTCCAGGAATTAGTCAAAGCTGTCTATAGATTCTTGATTGTGAGGCAGATTATCCACAATTTTCATATCCTTTCAAGGTTTTCGTGACTGGAAATAAACCTTTGTATGGCCATAATTAACTGCAAAGTCAGGTGATGTGTTTGTTTTTTAATAAGTTTAATTTCACTAGCTGGGGCATGTTTGGAGGTGTGGTCCTGCTCCTGAAATTCCAATACATAATCTCCAATTCACTAGCTGGGCCCACCTCCTCATTTTACATTTGACAGCGTTTAGTAGGTAAAGGTAAACACTTGGACATGAATTGAGCTTGAGGTTTGGGGAAGGCCTTGAAGGGGACTGACGATGGCTCCTGGGCCTGGCAGATCCCCAAAGAAGGCATCCAGAAGCAGTAATAAATGTGCAATATGAAGGTTGAAGACGTCAGTGTTAATAATTTGATTTTCAATTCAACTTATTTATACAGCACCGAGCCACAGTGACGGACACCTCAAGACCCTACAATGATGTCTAGAGGAAAAGCCCAACAATCGTATGACCTCCCATGAGCGAGCACTTTGGCGATGGTGGGAAGGAAAAACTCCCTTTTAGCAGGAAGAAACCTCCAGCAGAACCAGGCTCAGGGAGGGGGAGCCATCTGCTGCGACAGGTGGGAGAGAGAGAAGGAGATCGGGGCAAAGACAAGCTCAGGGAAACCGAACGTCGCTCCATGGTGTGAAGTGGATGAGCTCGGACAATTAGGAAGGAATGGCAGGAGAAGAGATTAAAGGAAACAATGGAAATCTTAATAGATGAATGAGGGGAATCCTCGATCAGGTAGCGATGTGGCTCGACTTTGAGCTGAAGCTCTGACAGAGAAGAATGCTGGATTTGAGATTTGAGGTAAGGCTTGACGGCTCAAAAAGCTTGTGTGAGCTTGTCTTTGAGTAGAAGATGGAGAGGTGGTGCTTAGCTGGTTAATTGCTTCAGATAAGGTAGCGATAACAACTGAGCTGATTTCTGAATGAACAGAAGTGACAGCAGCAGCTTGGGAAGAGTTAAGGAATTGAAAGACTGATTAGAGGAAAATAATCTTCTATAATAATAACCTCCAAAATCATCCAAGAGCAGAGAGATGATAAGCCATTTAGACGTAGTCAGAACCGTGAGTCGACTTAGAAAGCGGTCTTGAATGATTGTGTCGAGGGTGGATGCCTGATGATGCCAGTGAAAGCACGTGTCACGAAAAGCACATGAGAAGTGAAGGGATGCCATGAATAATTATACGCCTAGCATAGTTTGGATGTCTTGAAAGGAGCGATAGAGGACAGAACCTGGCATCCCGGTGCCACGAAGGTTTACCAGTGCTTTGTGAGGGCAGGAAAGATGGCAGCGAAACTGGCATCTCAGTGCCAGAACGGTTTGCAGCTACATCTTGTGGAAGACTGGACGAAACTGAAAAACTGGCTTCCTGGAGAGAGGATTTTTTTTTTTTTTTGCGCAAGTGATTGATGGCAGAAGCTGCCAATCCAGTGCCAGAAGGTTGAGCTGCTTAGCGCATGGGAATGGAACCTGGCATCCCGGGGCAAAGAGCTTTTTCTGCACTGCAAATGGGGAATAGAGACACGGAACCTGCCATCTTGGTGCTGAAAGGAACGTCTGCTGCTTAGCATGTGAGGGCTAGATGCAGAGAATCAGAATCAGAATACTTTATTGATCCCTGGGGGAAATTATTTCTGAAGCTGGCATCCCAGCGGTAGAAGGATTCACTGCTGCGTTGCTGTGATAAATGCAGAGAAACTGGCAACTTTATATTAGAAAGCATTCTGCTGCATTTGCGAATGAGGGATACAGAAGAACCAGGCATCTCGGTGCCAAGCTTCCTACTGCATTCGTAAAGGAGGGACAGAGGAAGAGAAGCTGGCATCCTGTTGCCAACGTTTGCTACTGCATTTGCGTAGGGGCATAGAGGAAGAGAACGTGGCATTGTGGTGCCGAAAGCATGCTGCTGCATTTGTGAATGAGGGATAAAGAGAAACCCTGGCATCTTGGTGCAAGAGGAGTTTACTACTGCTTTGCAATAACGGATGCAGAGAAACTGGCAACGTGGTGGAAGTTTGCTGCTGTGATTACGAATGATGGATATAGAAGGAACTGGCTGGAAGGATTCTCTGCTGCTTTTGCCATGATGGATGGATAACTGGCAACTCAGGGGTAAGAAGCTTATCCCTGCGGTTTGCACATGGCAGATATAGCAAGAACCTAACACCACGGTGCTAGAGGGGTTTGCAGCTGCTTGCAATGATAGATGTGGAGAAACTGGCAGTTCAGTAACCCGGTGCCTTTTTATTTATTTATTTATTTTTTCTATCTAGAGAACTGCCAACCTGATGGTAGAAAAGCTGCTGCTGCTTTTGTGGATGAGGGATAAAGGAATCTGGCAACCCGGTGCCGACATTTCCTGCAGAGTTTAGCCAAGGAGGGATGAGAGGCTGGGAACCTGGCAACTCGATGCCGACGTTTGCTGCAGAATTTTTCGAAGGAGGTGTGGGTGGCTGAGAACCTGGCAACCCGGTACCGACGTTTGCTGCGGAGTTTAGCAAAGGGGGGATAAGTGGCCGAGAACCTTGCAACTTGGTGCCGAAGCATACTGCATTTGCTACCGAGGGATGGAGTACTGGCAACTCTGTGGCCTTTTTTCCCCTAACTATGCTGATAAACTGGCAACTCAATAGTCAAAAAGCTTGCTGTTGCTTTTAGGAACCTGGCAACCCAGTGCCAACGTTTGCTGCAGAGTTTAGCCGCGGAGTTGTAAGAGGCTGGGAACCTGGCAACTCGGTGCCAAGGTTTGCTGCCGAATTGTTCAAAGGAGGGATGGGTGGCTGAAAACCTGGCAACCTGGTGCCGAGGTTTGCTGCAGAGTTTAGCAGAGGAGGGATGAGTAGCCGAGAACCTGGCAACTCTGTGCTGACGTTTGCTGCAGAGTTTAGCAGATGAGAGATTGGGAACCTGGCAACTCGGTGCCAAAGCATACTGCATTTTGCCACCGAGGGATGGAGAACTGGAGACATGGTGCCTTTTTTGTGTGTGTGTCGTCTTTGCTGAGAAACTGGCAGTTCGGTGGTAGGAAGCTTGCTGCTGCATTTGCGAATGCCGGATAGGGAAGAACTGGGCAGGGATGAAAAAAATCACGACGATGGAGAACAGTAAACAGTATGGTGTCACGGTGGGGTGTGCCGAAGTGTTTTGACTTCAGGACCCAGATGCAGATGCAGAGAGAGCGGCGTTGCAGGAGACGGGATGTGACTTTAACCAAAAGCAAGCTTTATTTAGCTGGTTGCAGACAAAACATGAAACTAAGAAAACAAAGAGGAATAAGATAAGATAACTCTTTATTGTCATTGCACAGTCATATATAGTACAATAGTACAATGAAATTGGAAAACTGTCCTACGTCAGCACTACATATAACACAACACGACCCGATACAACACATCACAACGCAACACAAACAACACAACACAGTATAATAACTTAGTAATAAAAAAGAAGAAGAAGTGTATGTGTATTGCACACTGTTATTATTGCACATTAATTGTTATTGCACCTTGTTATAAATATAAATATTATTATTGTTACTGTTTTTACCGTTGTTACCTCCCCCCCAAAAAAGTCCAGGGAGGTAGCCAGTCAGGTCAGCTATTTGCATTGATCAGGGCTATTGCCCTGTTGTAAAAGCTGTCCTTGAGTCTATTTGTTCGGGACCTCAGCAGCCTGAACCTCCTGCCAGACAGCAGCAGCTTAAACACCCGGTGTCGTGGGTGTGTACAATCCCGTAGGATGCTGTGTGCCCTCTTGAGACAGCGAGTGTTGTACAGGTCCTTCAGGGAGGAAAGAGGATGTCCAATTATTTTTTTGGGCCATATTGATGACCCTCTGGAGTGCCTTTCTGTGTGCTGTGGTGCAGCTGGAGAACCACACCGATGCAATATGTCAGCACACTTTCAATGGAGCAGCGGTAGAAGACGGTCAGCAGCTCCTTCTTCAGGTCCATTTTTCTGAGGATTCTCAGAAAGTGGAGACGCTGTTGGGCCTTCTTTAAAACCACATAGATGTTAGAGCTCCATTGGAGGTCTGTGTCTATGTGCACACCCAGAAACTTGAAACTGGAGACCCTTTCCACGCACTCCCCGTTGATGCTGACAGGCTGCAGCTCAGACTTCCTCCTTCTGAAGTCAACTACCAGTTCTTTTGTCTTGGTGGTATTGAGGTCCAGGTTGTTATCTACACACCAATCTGACAGCCTCTGAACGTCAGCTCTGTACGCCATCTCATCTCCCCCAGAGATGAGCCCCACCACGGTGGTATCATCTGCAAACTTGATGACTGCGTTGTCTGGGTGGGAACTAACACATGTGTGTACAGAGTGTACAGTAGGGGGCTCAGTACACAGCCTTGTGGAGAGCCGGTGTTAAGGCTGAGGGCTGAGGAAAGATGAGGCCCCATTCTAACTCTCTGTACACGGTCTGAGAGGAAGTCTCTGATCCAGCGGCAGGTGGTAGAAGGAAGTCCGATTTCCAGCAGTTTAACTATTAGTCTGTCCGGGAGTATCATATTGAAAGCAGAGCTAAAGTCAACAAAGAGCAGCCTGGTGTAACGGCCCTGCACTTCCAGGTGAGAGATGGTGGTGTGGAACATTGTAGCAATGGCATCTTCAGTTGATCTGTTAGCTCTGTATGTGAACTACTATGAAACTCAGTGAAAAAACTATGAAGAAACCATGAACACTGAGTAACTATGAAACACAGTGAAGACAAAAACCTATGACACTCTATGACTGAGGGATAACAGTCAACGCGACGCTGAACACAGCAAGACTGAGCACTTAAATACACACATGAGGTGATCAAGGGAAGTGGAGACACATGAGGACACAGCTGACTAGAATCAAACATAATAACAACACAGGGGAGAGAAAAATTAACCACATGAACCCAGAACACACAATCTACTTCAAAATAAAACAAGAAACTAGACATGACAACACTAAGCTGACAGACCTAAAACACATGATAAATTAGACAAGAATCCAAACATTGAAGCCAAGGAAACAATAAATAATGTTTCAGAGGCCCAGGCTGTGACAGTATGGAGCTAGCGACACATTTCCAGCTTGCATTAAATTCTGTTAGTAGGAAGGAGCACAGAGCTGAGCTTCCGCCTGCTACCTGGCGCTGGCGGGTGGGTGGAGCTACGAAGTATGCTATAGCTTTGCTGTCGGAGCTGCGATGTGTTTGGAAGTGTGGGTTCAGCGCTGATGTCCGTCGGCTTTCCGGCTAACTCGCCGGCACACTGCACCTTCTGCAGAGATGTATTCCACCTGTGTGCAGTTCCTCCACTCTTGTACATCACCCTATGTTCCTCCCTCTTCCTTAAATGTGTTGTTCCTGCAGCCATTTTCATCCTTTTTGCTAAATCCACTACTATGTGTCCTTCTGCTGTTCTCTCCTTAAAACCATACCTACCCAACACCTCTTCATCTCCTCTGTTAGCTTCACTTACATCTCTTCTCAAGTCCACATCCCCCCTCCTGGGTACACTCAATTCCTCTGTTTCTTTTCTAACTGACATCCAACCTGAGGAGTGTATGCACAGACATTCAATGTCACCAGCTTCAAACTCACACACTACATCTACCTACATTCGTTCCATCACTCTCACCTCCACACTCCTGCTTTTTCTTCTCTAACACTGCATCCTACCAGAACGTCCCGCTATTCCCTTCCTTTGTCTTCCTATAACAGCAGCACAGTTTTCATTGTGGCGGAGTTCTATAGGAGTTTTTCCCCTTAATAAAGTAAATAATCCTTTTAAAAACACATTTGTGTATTTACTCAGGTTATCTCTGTGTGAAAAATATGCAAAAAAAACCCTCCAAGAAATCAGGAAGTGGAAAATAGTTTTTCAACAACCCTCCACAGTTCGAAGAACCGCAACTTTCCATTTTTTAATTTTTGTTTGTGCATGCAAATTGTGACGTAAGAACCAGCAGTTGACCTGGTACACCATAGTCAGTAGAGACTAAAAGAAGAAAAAGAAACCACTTGTCTTGCTCAATCTATTGGTTAAACCAACCAGACTAGCAGACACAGAAAATAAAGACACAACAGAAACATTTCATCTGTGCTGTACCTGAGAGAACGCGTTAACTGTTGGGATGGTTTATGTTGGGAGTATGACTTGAAATAACATCATTTGAATGTCATTTTTATTCTGCTGAGAAGTTAAGCAAATGTTCCAATGAACATTTGCCTCGATGCAAAGCTGTTTGTTCAGACATTTGCTTCAACTTCATGAGGAAGCTTAAGGCATTTTCTATGAAATGCTCATCCTTGCTAATCTGCTTATTTAACAAATACCATAAAACGTGCGTATTTTCTTCATCCTGCAAACAGTGTCTGTGCCATCATCTGTCTTGACCCATACAACCAGCCTGTCCGCGGGGCCCCCTGTCATCTTGTAGAAGAACTGCAGACACTGAAGCTTCCTCTTGGGGTAGAGGATTCGAGGTTCCAGCATAGCAGACTCCTGAGGCTCCCCAGTCATAGTGTTGAAGTGCATGAAGTATCCAGCATCTAAAAAAACAAATAAATATAAGACAATCTATAATAATGTTTAATTCCCTCTGAAATCATCAGAGGCCTGGATCATCCCACAAATGCTTGCATACTCAAAGGTACACTGATCCAGCAGGGTGAGCGGCCCGGCTGTATGAGAATGAGAGGAGGGGTATGCACATAGGAATGTGTTTTACACAGTCCTATAGCTGTCAGATTTAAAAAAAAAAAGTCGACTCATTGAAGCCCAGTGTGACAACATATACATACAGCAGTTGCACATCCTGGTGAGCCTGAGGGTGTCCATCTTGCTGAAATCAAGGTACTGGCCAATAAAATTGTAGAACTCTGGGATTTTGGTGGTGATAGTGGGGATGGATTCATTCTTGTTGGAGGAGAAGTGCCTGTAGTGCATGACGGACTCATAGTCGTATGCAGTGTTTTGATCAGTGATGAAGTCGTCATTGTATTTGTTGAAGTTATGTGGAAGTCCTGCAGGAAATGTTCTCTTATTTAATAAATGTTATCATAAAAAAGCAATCATAAATAACTGTACATTTGACACTTCAATTATGTGTCACAATACAATGCATCATAGCATTACACTATAATGATCGTAGCATGTATGTTTGCGTGTTCCTTGCCTCTTGTGCACAGCACAGGGTTTGCTAGTGTAACTATCTATGCAGCAGTACACTTTATCCTAATATTTTTTTGAGTCAATTTCTACATAGAAAATGGCTGAAAAGAATGAAAGAACTACATATACCTGACGTAACCTGGTCCAGCCAGATGTTGTCCATGCGGGACTGTTCATGGTAAAATCCCAGAGCATGGAGCAGCCAGTGGCGTGTCCAGCGGGGTGGCCTGGGGGGGCACAGGCCACCCCCCCAACCAGACTGACCACCCCAGGTGCCACCCCGAAGCTAAAACAATAAAATTTAATGAAATATCAAATGTACGATTATGGTTTCACAGTGAAGCTCAGATATCCGAGGGTAAGTGAATGCAGCACCGGCTTCTGCATCATGTTAGCAAAGGTAGGAGAGCCAAGCACGAAAGACGGCACCGCAGAAAACATTTTTTCGGCGAAAGGTTAACAAGTTAACATAGCTGGACTAGCCGTCGGACATTTGCACGGTGGGCTGATGACTTATTTATTTATTTTTTGCATGAACAATGAGAGGTGGTGGATTGGCCAGATGCTGGCCGATGTGTAAAAATAACTCAGTTGTTTGACTTGCAGTCAAGCCAGCCTCCAGTTTGTTTTACGTTCCCTGTGTATCCCTGCCTCACCTTCCCTCATCCACCTGTTGCCTCTGTGGAAGCTCCGCCATAGCCACCACCATACAACACTTGTGTCAAGCCAGCCTCCAATTCGAGACTTGCAGTCAATCCAGCCTCCAGTTTGTTTTACGTTCCCTGTGTATTCAAAGTATTACGGGAATGGATGTGGAAACCGGATTTCAAAATAAAAGCCAACTTCGAGTGAATTAACAGATATGTTAAGAACATAATAACATATAATTTAGGCTTCTTTTTTTTTTACAAACTCTAATGTTAGATCTATATGACACAGCCTTGTACCCTAATTGTGCCCTGTCACTATCAAGGCCATCTTATTTTGGATTTCAAAGTAAAAGCCCTGTGAATCTTCATTTTTGAACTACTCTTTCAATGACTTAATAATGCTCTTAAAAGCAAAAGTCGTATTTCCAAATACCATTTGGACTTTATATCAACACTTTCCAACCACAGTCTTTTTCACAGTGATACCATATCAATATCAAGTCAGTCTGATTTTGCCTTTCATAGTAATGGCCCTTTGAAATTGCCAATATTTGACTTAATCTTCTAACGATTCAAAATGCTCTAAAATGAAAAATTCTTGTTTCCACAGGGTAAGTCCACTTTAGATCAACAGTATACAGACCCACAGTGATACCATATCAATATCAAATCATTCTGATTTTGCTCTCAAAAATAAAAGCCTTTTTAAATTGTCCATAATTGACCTACCTTTCAGTGATTTCAAATTGCTCTAAAAAGGAAAATTCCTGTTTCCACAGGGTAATTCCACTTTAGATCAACAGTATACAGCCCCACAGTGATACCATATCAATATCAAGTCAATTTGCCTTTCAAAGTAATGGTCCATTGAAATTGTCCATGTATGACCCACTCTTTCACTGACTTCAGAATCCCATTAAAAGCAAAGTTGCTGTTTCCACAAGATCATTTCACTCTACATTGACAGTATACAACCCCACAGTTTTATCACGTCAGTATCGGAATTATAATTGTTCATTTGGTACTTATAATAATTAAACGCGGATGCTATTAACAGGACAATTATTGTTTCCACTAAGTAATTGGAGTTCATGCAAACCATACACAACCTCTACAGTGGTAACATCTCAATCTCAAATCAATCTCGTTTTGCATTTCAGAGTACAAGCCTTTTGACTTTGTTTATAGGAGCTTCTCTTTCCACAACTTCAGAATGGCATTAAATGGAAAGTTCCAGCTTCTATGAATTAATACCAGTTTGTGCCAACACATATCATTGCATATAATCTAACAGTGGAGTTGGTGACCATACTTTTCGGTGACATTAGAATGCTGTTAAATAGGAAAATCCCTGTTCCCATGCAATAATTTTTCCTCTAAATCAATAATATAGTCCCTCAAAGTTGTACGCTGTGAAAATCAAGTCGTTCTTGTTTTGGATTTAAAAATAATCGCCCTGGAAATGGTTTGCAAGCTGTTTTGTAATTTCTTTATTTAGAATGACATCTTTCCACAGACTTGAAATATGAACGTACTATCAATTACAACTTACTGGCAATTTCAATTCTGTCATAATCAATTGAGTCTGATTTTGCTTTTCAAAATGAAAACCCAATATGTGTTGAAACAGCAATTTTCATTTTTAAAACATTCTGAAATAATTGAAAGAGTATATCACATATGGACAAATTCGACGGGCCATTAATTTGAAAGGCGAAATCAGACCAACATGAAATTTACATGGTTTTACTGTCGGGTTGAATACTGTTGATCTAAAGTGGAATTATCCTGTGGAAACAGCATCTTTCAATTTAAGAGCATTTTGAAATCGTTAAAAGAGTAGGTCGTCTACGGGAAAGCAAAATCAGACTGACTTGAAATTGACATGGTAACATCGTGAGGTTGTATACTGTTGATCTAAAGTGGAATTACCCTGTGGAAACTGAAATCTTCCTTTTTAGAGCATTCTGGAATCACTGAAAGTTAGGTAAGTTATGGGCATTTTCAACAGGCCATTATTTTGGAAGGCAAAATCAGAATGACTTGAAATTGACATAGTACCATGGTGTGGTTGTACACTTTTGATCTAACATGGATTCATCCTGTGGAAAGAGCAATTTTCATTTTTAGAGTGTTCTGAATTCTTTAAAAGAGTAGGTCGTATATCGGCAATTTGAAAAGTCTTTTATTTTGGAAGGCAACATCAGACTGATTTGATATTGATATGGTATCACTGTGGGTCTGTATACTGTTGATCTAAAGTGGAATTATGCTGTGGAAACAGGAATTTGCCATTTTAGAGCATTTTGAAATCACTGAAAGGTAGGTCAATTGTGGACAATTTGAAAAGGCTTTTAGTTTGGAAGGCATAATCAGAATGACTTGATATTGATATGGTATCACGGTGGGTCTGTATACTGTTGATCTAATATGGATTCATCCTGTGGAAATAGCAAAATTCTGTTTAAGAACATTTTGAAATCGTTAAAACAGTAGGTCGTATATGCTCAATTTGAAAGGGCTTTTATTTTGGAAGGCATAATCAGAATGACTTGATATTGATATGGTATCACTGTGGGGCTGTATATGTCATCCAGGGAAGGACGGACTTTGTTTTGCTGTGCTGTATTTTAATGTGAAGTGTACATATTTATTTTTTATATTGCATGTATTGGTTATATTTTGTGCAGTGTTTTATTTAGTTTGCATGTTTTAGTTACCGTCAAATTGTCCTGGAGAGACTCCGCCCTTTCCCCCGTTTTTACTAATTGGACACACCTGAGAGGAAAGGCAAGGTAATTTACAGAGTGCTCAATGACACATAAAAGGGTTGTAGCCGGTGTTCACAAGGGACACGGACAGGGAATGCGAGAAGAATGCGAGCAACACAGACAGAGGAAGAGACATGATCGGAGGGGAGATGATCAGAAAGAGAGAGACGATGAGAGGAAGACGATCAGCGACTGGAGAGGAGCAGATGCCCAGCGACTGAGGAGAAAGAGATTACCAGCGCTTGGGGAGCAAAAGATGACCAGCGGCTGGGGAGGAAAAGATGACCAGCGACGGGGGACGAGACAGTGGCAGTCGGACGGCAATAACGATAAGAGCCAGCTTGTGTACTGCGAGAGAACAGGAGCAGTGAGACAGCGGTACCGATTCCAGTTTAAGGAAGCGGCGGGCGGAGTTGAGAGCTCTGCCCACCCGGGTAAGTCTTTGACTTATCCTTTTTATAAAGTAAACTGTCAAAGGAATAGTGACTGCCGCTCCCTCCCTTCCTTCAGTGCACCGGGACGTGGAATGCGGGGAGGAAGGCGAGGACTCCGCTGGGTTTCCCTCTCTGACTACTACGCTGGATTTCTTAGTTTTCTGTGACTTTTAGGCCGTGGTGGATCCCACTGGACTTTTAATGTTGTGTGTTATTGATTTTTATTGTGTCTTCCCTTGGCCAAGGTTGTCCAAATTCATTTTACATTTTTAACTATTTAAATATAATAAATTATATTTTTAATCTTACAGTTTAAATTGTGTGCTTTCCCTTGGCGGCTCCACTGCTCTGCCCGTTTTGAGGAAGGTTTCCTTCCTTTTTAAAAAAAACAGTCAAATGAAGTGGGGACATTTTTGACCCCTGAGGACCACCAGTGTGATTATTTGCTGCCATTAAAAATTTTCAAACGCTTGAAAAAAAACTTTCTCACTAAAGTTCAACATACAGCACTCTCTAGTTATTCAGATAGTCAAAATTATCTAAACAATTAAATATTTAATTTTCTCAATTTGTTTTCGCTAAAAACAGGGTGTATTTTTTGTAAAGAAGGTCTGGTGGCCCTAAAATGTAAAATGTTGAGTAAATTTTGTGTTAATGTGTTGGTCTTAAGTAAAACTAAGGTGTAACACTGAATTGATTGACAATTTATACTTTTTACTTTAAAAACAGTCAAATGAAGTGGGGACATTTTTGACCCCTGAGGACCACCAGTGTGATTATTTGCTGCCATTAAAAAATTTAAATGGTTCAAAAAAAAAATTCTCACTAAAGTTCAACATACAGCACTCTCTAGTTATTCAGATAGTCAAAATTATCTAAACAATTAAATATTTAATTTTCTTGTTTTATTTTCGCTAAAAAACAGGGTTTATTTTTTGTAAAGAAGGTCTGGTGGCCCTAAAATGTAAAATGTTGGGTAAATTATGTGTTAATGTGTTGGTCTTAAGTAAAACTAAGGTGTAACACTGAATTGATTGACAATTTATACTTTTTACTTTAAAAAACAGTCAAATGAAGTGGGGACATTTTTGACCCCTGAGGACCACCAGTGTGATTATTTGCTGCCATTAAAAATTTATAAACGCTTGGGAAAAAAAATTCTCGCTAAAGTTCAACATACAGCACTCTCTAGTTATTCAGATAGTCAAAATTATCTAAACAATTAAATATTTAATTTTCTCAATTTGTTTTCGCTAAAAAACAGGGTGTATTTTTTGTAAAGAAGGTCTGGTGGCCCTAAAATGTAAAATGTTGAGTAAATTTTGTGTTAATGTGTTGGTCTTAAGTAAAACTAAGGTGTAACACTGAATTGATTGACAATTTATACTTTTTACTTTAAAAAACAGTCAAATGAAGTGGGGACATTTTTGACCCCTGAGGACCACCAGTGTGATTATTTGCTGCCATTAAAAATTTATAAATGGTTCAAAAAAAAAATTCTCACTAAAGTTCAACATACAGCACTCTCTAGTTATTCAGATAGTCAAAATTATCTAAACAATTAAATATTTAATTTTCTTGTTTTATTTTCGCTAAAAAACAGGGTTTATTTTTTGTAAAGAAGGTCTGGTGGCCCTAAAATGTAAAATGTTGGGTAAATTATGTGTTAATGTGTTGGTCTTAAGTAAAACTAAGGTGTAACACTGAATTGATTGACAATTTATACTTTTTACTTTAAAAAACAGTCAAATGAAGTGGGGACATTTTTGACCCCTGAGGACCACCAGTGTGATTATTTGCTGCCATTAAAAATTTATAAACGCTTGAAAAAAAAATTCTCGCTAAAGTTCAACATACAGCACTCTCTAGTTATTCAGATAGTCAAAATTATCTAAACAATTAAATATTTAATTTTCTCAATTTGTTTTCGCTAAAAAAACAGGGTTTATTTTTTGTAAAGAAGGTCTGGTGGCCCTAAAATGTAAAATGTTGAGTAAATTTTGTGTTAATGTGTTGGTCTTAAGTAAAACTAAGGTGTAACACTGAATTGATTGACAATTTATACTTTATGCTTTAAAAAACAGTCAAATGAAGTGGGGACACTTTTGACCCCTGATGGCTCACATTGTATGCAAATCGGGAGGACATTATGAGGGTTAAAAAACACAAAATATTGTGGAAACATAATCAGCCTTTCCGCCCCGTGTCACATATACTGTTGATCTAAAGTGGAATTACCCTGTGGAAACAGGAATTTTCCATTTTAGAGCATTTTGAAATCACTGAAAGTTAGGTCGTATATGCTCAATTTAAAAAGGCTTTTATTTTGGAAGGCATAATCAGAATGACTTGATATTGATATGGTATCACTGTGGGGCTGTATACTGTTGATCTGGGGTGGAATTACCCTGTGGAAACAGGAAATTTCCATTTTAGAGCATTTTGAAATCACTGAAAGTTAGGTCAATTATGGACAATTTAAAAAGGCTTTTATTTTGGAAGGCATAATCAGAATGACTTGATATTGATATGGTATCACTGTGGGTCTGTATACTGTTGATCTAATATGGATTCATCCTGTGGAAATAGCAAAATTCTGTTTAAGAACATTTTGAAATCGTTAAAAAAGTAGGTCGTATATGCTCAATTTGAAAGGGCTTTTATTTTGGAAGGCATAATCAGAATGACTTGATATTGATATGGTATCACTGTGGGGCTGTATACTGTTGATCTAAAGTGGAATTACCCTGTGGAAACAGGAATTTTCCTTTTTAGAGCATTTTGAAATCACTGAAAGGTAGGTCAATTATGGACAATTTTAAAAGGCTTTTATTTTTGAGAGCAAAATCAGAATGATTTGATATTGATATGGTATCACTGTGGGTCTGTATACTGTTGATCTAGAGGATTAAGTCAAATATTGGCAATTTCAAAGGGCCATTACTATGAAAGGCAAAATCAGACTGACTTGATATTGATATGGTATCACTGTGAAAAAGACTGTGGTTGGAAAGTGTTGATATAAAGTCCAAATGGTATTTGGAAATACGACTTTTGCTTTTAAGAGCATTATTAAGTCATTGAAAGAGTAGTTCAAAAATGAAGATTCACAGGGCTTTTACTTTGAAATCCAAAATAAGATGGCCTTGATAGTGACAGGGCACAATTAGGGTACAAGGCTGTGTCATATAGATCTAACATTAGAGTTTGTAAAAAAAAAGAAGCCTAAATTATATGTTATTATGTTCTTAACATATCTGTTAATTCACTCGAAGTTGGCTTTTATTTTGAAATCCGGTTTCCACATCCATTCCCGTAATACTTTGAATACACAGGGAACGTAAAACAAACTGGAGGCTGGCTTGACTGCAAGTCTCGAATTGGAGGCTGGCTTGACACAAGTGTTGTATGGTGGTGGCTATGGCGGAGCTTCCACAGAGGCAACAGGTGGATGAGGGAAGGTGAGGCAGGGATACACAGGGAACGTAAAACAAACTGGAGGCTGGCTTGACTGCAAGTCAAACAACTGAGTTATTTTTACACATCGGCCAGCATCTGGCCAATCCACCACCTCTCATTATTCATGCAAAAAATAAATAAATAAGTCATCAGCCCACCGTGCAAATGTCCGACGGCTAGTCCAGCTATGTTAACTTGTTAACCTTTCGCCGAAAAAATGTTTTCTGCGGTGCCGTCTTTCGTGCTTGGCTCTCCTACCTTTGCTAACATGATGCAGAAGCCGGTGCTGCATTCACTTACCCTCGGATATCTGAGCTTCACTGTGAAACCATAATCGTACATTTGATATTTCATTAAATTTTATTGTTTTAGCTTCGGGGTGGCACGATACGACTTAAATACACAGAGAAACACAGGGGAATTACACACAGGTGGTGGACACAGCTGGGAAAAATCAACAAGACGAGACAGAGGTAAAACTGAACACACTCACATGAGACGCAGACCTTCACAATAAAAGAGGAACAAGAAACCATCACACTAAGACACAGACTCGACATAGAGAGAATGACACATGGAACTAAACTAAACCTGCAAAAACATGACAACTCAAAATACTGGGTCAAACTGACCCAGAACCGTGACAGTACCCCCCCTTCCAAGGGCTGGCTCCCGACAGCCCAAAACAAAAAAACAGAGCACCAGACCAGGGCAGAGGGGGTCCAGGAAGGAGGGTCCGAAACAAAAAACAAGGAGCACAAGAGTCCAAACACACAAGAAAACAGTCCAAGAACACAGGAAAGCAGATCAAAAACAAAACCAAATCAGAGCTCAAGAGTCCGAGAAAAGTTCAGGGGGTCGACCCGGGGGTCGACAACACAAAGACCAAGACAGTTCTGGAGGCCGACCGTGCACACGGCAACGGCGGCGAAGGGCAAACAGTTCGGGAGGCCGACCACTTGGAAGGCAGTGGCGGCCACTGAGCAGGTCCGGAGGTCGGCCGCGATGCCAGCGGCGGCGACGAACTCTTTCCGGAGGCCGTCCCGAAGGCCATGATGCTGACTTAGAGGCCCGGAAAACGGACGGGCTCCTCGGGCCCTCCAGCGGAGGAACTAAACTAAACCTGCAAAAACATGACAACTCAAAATACTGGGTCAAACTGACCCAGAACCGTGACAGAATAAGAGCTTAATAAAGATGCTTAATTTCTTTTTTTTTTTCTTTTTTTTTTTTTTTTTTTTTTTTTTTTTTTTGGCCTGTCCCGTTTGGCTCTTTTGCCATCAGAATTGTTGTCTAAAGGCAAAGAAAGATGCCCAACGGATTTACTTTACCAAACTGACCATCCCAGCCTTGCCGTAATGATCCATTTGATTCACCTTTTATTGTTTATTTTATTTTCACTTACTGAATACGGGACAGACTTGACTGGGGGAAAGAAGGGGAGAAAGAAAGAGGGAAAGAGAAACAGCTGAGAAGAGGGACGGGGGAGAAGGGCAAAAGACAAAAACCAACAGAACGGGCAGAGAAAAAAAAATACATATATCAATCACCTGGATCACCTGCTGAGAAAGAAAAAAGAAAGCAAGCAGAAGAGAACAAGAGTAATAGAATAAACAACATCACAATGATATATGGGAATATGACAGTAAATACTAAATGTTAAACATTATTGTGCAGCACATAAGATCAACAGAACACAGTGTGCTTTGAGGTAGGAGCCAAAAAGGGTGTAGTTTGTGGGTGTGATCACCCGTGTGTACACCTGTGAGCATGGACGCGCTTGTTTTTTGTTTTTTAAAAGGTTCCTTCATGTAATAATCTGCTAGAGGGTGTGGGGGGGCCACAGCCCCGTCCTCCAGGGCGTGAAGCAGGTGTGGAGGAGATCAAAACTCCAGACATCCAGAGGCCCCCAGAACACAAGAGACCAAGGAAGACCAACAGAGGGGCAGCTGCGCCACTGTCCCGGAAAGAGCTGAGGAGAGTCTCAGATGAGGGCTCACTCAGCAGCCGCGGAGCAGAAGCCAGGGGGAGTTGCAGTGATGCGCCCGTGAGCTCCGCCGGCAGCCAGCTGCGCCTGAGTGACCGAGCCCCAGGCCGAGAGGCCGGGGGCACCCCACCTCCGAAGTGGCCCGAGCGAGCCCCAGGCTCCAGGCCCCGATAAGCGGCCGCCAAGGAGTGAGCCGGTGTGTACCTGGACGCCCATCCCCGGACACAAAGAACCACCAACGCACCGATGTCTGAGGGGGTCCGCCACTGGCAGGGGAAGTGGTGGTAGGGGGAGATAGGCCTCCAAACCTGGGAGTCATACTGTTGTGATACTGGGGAGAAAAGGGTAAGGTTTGATAGACTAAACCCTTACACACAAAACTTGAAAAACCTAAAGCGTGTGTGAGACTGCTAGCTGTGTTGTTCAGCAATATACTCATCTACAAATATGTTACTAAAGAAACTGCAAACTATGAAAGGAATCTGGATTTAAATAGAACATAGTAGTGCTGTAAACACTAGTATTAGGTGTCTATGGAACAAATCTCCTTCAGCGTTCAAAATGACCAAAGTGAGGACTACAGGCGTTTCTCTCAGTTGGTTGTGTTCAGGGAAAAAGCAGCTAAATACACTGAGACTGCTCCACATTTGTTAGTGAGTTAACTCTGGATATTTGTAGGTTTTGTCAAATTTGGAGTGAACAAAAGCAGAAAAACTGTAAAAGATGCAGACAGTGAAAGCCTAGTTTATTTTATGAATACAATGAAACATTTTACAGTCCACAGAGCAAAGTAGCATACACGATAAATAGATACACATAACACAGACTGTGAGAAGTAAAACTCATCGTCTTACCACATGTTATATTCTGTAAACTTAAAATAAACCACTGAAATTAGTGTTTAGTGTTTTAAAGTCATTATTAAAAAACATGAGTCAACATTACTGAAGTGACACTTTAACGATGCTTCATATCACAGTCTTTATGATGATAAAACATGTTCTCTCATAGTAGATGTCTGTGCTGACACTTGTCATGAAAATGTCCTGAGCCAGGGTTCCTCTTGGATTACCATTGATCATTAATAGGACGCACAAAAGATTTGTTGCGTTATCCCCATAAACAACATGCTTTTATAGAAATCATTGTGACACAAATATTTAGATTCTTGTTTCACAATGTGCCTGAACTCAAAATCTTTAGAGTTTCATATTTATAAAGTATCGCAAAGAATACATTTATACCATTGTATGAGCTACGCTTCTTGTAAAAAAATAAACTGATTGGTAATGCGTCTGAGAAAAGCTCCTGCTGTGACCTTCCTTCTGTGAGGGCACACACTCACTCACACACACACACACACACACACACACACACACACACACACACACTCACACAGAGAGAGAGAGAGAGAGAGAGAGAGAGAGGGGGAGATCATTAATACAAAGGATTGGAGCCGTTTTTGGATTTTCACTTGTTGGCTTTAATATGAACAGTCACATTAAATTCATTCCAATTTTTAGCCTTTGCTTCAATTAAGATGCTTCTTTAAATCTACAACGGCTTCCTTTTCAAAAAGTTTACTGACATAATAAGGAAGTAGCTATGGAACTCAGTAAGTATGAGCAACAATAGCTTAGGGACAGTTTCCACAATAAAGAGGATTTCATCATCTGCAGTTCGTCAAAAAAGGGCCGTATTAAAAACAATTCAGCAGACCCTCAGAGTGTGGATACAATCTGTTTTCAACTGTAGAGGTAGAGGTACACTTCATGTACTTATCAATATGCAGTTTAGAGGCTTGCATTAGAGGGCTTTGGTGCTTGGGCCTCTTTTATTTAGCATGGTTATACCTTTGTGAATTTAGCTATCATATGTTTGACATTCAAATTCAAATTCAAATTCAAATTTTATTTGTCACGTACACAGTCATACACAGTACGATATGTAGTGAAATGCTTGGACAACTGCTCGTGACCTAAAGAGAACAAAAAAGGAAAAGGCTATGAATAAGATAGGAAATAAATATGAAAAATTAAAAAGGGTAAATTTAACTAGGAAGGAATAAAATATAAATTAAGGTTAAAAATGAAATAACTGTACAACACAAATTAGAATGAAGGGTAAATTTAACTGGGAAGAATAAGATAAAGATAAATATATAAATTAAAGTTGAAAATAAAATAACTGTACAACAAAATACACAATACACAATATAGAACTATATAAGAATGTATGAAGAAATCTAAATATAAATAAATATATACACAATAACAGCAGCTGTACAAGTATTAACCGGAAATGAAGAATATAGTGACCAGTGTTGTGCAAAACCAAAGTCCAGAAAGTCCAGTGTGTGTGTAAGAACCATATACATAGACATGCAACTAAAAATTCGAAAATACATTTTTTTAAATCAGTAACTTTGCAAATTTAGAGGAATTGTTTTCGGACAACATATGTGTCACATTTTAAACAGGGTTTGAATAATCAGCACTGACATACAGACAGACATTTATGCCCTGGGTATAACAGACATGCTTACCTTGTGAAAGGCCCTCGGATTTCTTGGAGCAGAGAAACATGCTGTATTGTTGCTTTTCTCTATTGTATAAGCAGCGCCCGACTGTCAGAAACGCTCTGTGCGGGTAGCAAAGTCGGCTCCAACGCACATTCAGGTGAAAAAATAAAAAGTTAAAACGATATACCTTGCGGCATTTGTGAAGTGCTGAGGAAATACTATGTGTCTGATGGGGTGTTTTTATATAGGTGGACTTGGTTTCAGTTGGGCTCTGAGATGCAGATATAAAGAGCAGGTTGTAAAGAGAAAGGTGGAAAAACTATGGTGGTTCGGTTAGTCAGTAGGATGTGTAATTGTCTGCCTGTAGAGATAAAGGTGTGGGGTGTAAGAAAATGTGAAAAACATTTGGAGGCTCAGTTGGACATGGTTTCAGTTGACCTCTGACATGATAAGATAAAATAATGGAACTGTTTGTAATTAAAAAATGTGGAAACTATGGAACTATAGTTGGGTTGTGTGCTGGGATGCTCTTGATAAGGGAGCCTCTTTTATTGTTTCATGACTTCTTTTGCTGACTGTTGGGGGCCTAACTGTAACCCTCTCTGTCTAACTGTTGCAGAGTGTGACTAGGTGTGAATATGTGGTTTTAGAAGTATCACAAGAAAAGTTTATTTCTAAAGGAATACCTATTCTTGTTTGTGGTACTCTATTTAAAACTATTAGCCTCTGTGTCTTTTCGGAGCGCTAAGGAAAAAAGTAAAATGCCCCTAAAGTAGTTAAATCATCTATGTGTAATCATCGAGTCTTACTGTTGCAGTGTGTTTGTGACTAGTAGATAATCATAGGGCTAGTTGCATTAAAGGAACATTGGGGTTGATACAGTGCTAGTGTGACTAGGTGTGAATATGTGCTTTTAGAAGTATCACTGTTTATTTCTAAAGGGATACATGTTGTTTGTGGTATTCTGTTTAAAAACCACTAGCCTGTGAAACTATTAGAAAAGTGAAATCTTCCTAAACTAGCTAAATGCCGTGTGGGAATACATGGTTTTTAGAAGTATCACTGTTTATTTCTAAAGGGATACCTGTTATTTGCGGCACTCTGTTTGAAACTATTTGCTCCTAAATAACACTAAAGAAAAAGCAAAATGCTCCTAACTAGTTAAAATACCCCTAAACTAGTTAAATTACTACAGCTCTGCATTTAACACCATAATTCCCTCCACACTCACCACCAAGCTGGAGCATCTGGGACTCAGCTCATCTATGTGTCAGTGGATCTCCAACTTCCTAACTGGCAGACCACAGGCAGTAAGGATGGGCGGACATGTCTCCGCCTCCACCACTCTCAGCACTGGAGCCCCCCAGGGGTGTGTTCTGAGCCCCCTGCTGTACTCTTTGTACACATATGACTGTGTGGCCACTACCAGCTCCACCACCATCATCAAGTTTGCTGACGACACCGTCGTGGTGGGCCTGATCTCTGATAACAACGAGACGGCCTACCTGAAGGAGATTAGGAATCTGGAGAACTGGTGCCAGAGGAA